TCTTGAAAGGTAATTAGATGTCCCTGCCTGTTTCCTCTCTGCTGTTTTTGCTGTTGAAGATTTTAGAATTTTTTAATACTGGTAGCCAGATTTTGTTCATTTTCATGGTTTCCTCCTTTCTGTTGAAATTGTCCACATGTTTGTGGATTTCAATGGCTTCTCTGTGTAGTCTGACATGGTGGTTGTGAGAGTGGTCCAGCATTTCTGTGTTCTCAAATCAAATGCTGTGTCCAGGTTGGTTCATCAGGTGCTCTGCTATGGCTGACTTCTCTGGCTGAATTAGTCTGCAGTGCCTTTCATGTTCCTTTATTTGTTTGGGCAATGCTGCGTTTGGTGGTCCCTATGTAGACTTGTCCACAGCTGCATGGTATCACGGTAGACTCCTGCAGAGGTGAGAGGATCCCTCTTGTCCTTTGCTGAACGTAGCATTTGCTGGATTTTCTTAGTAGGTCTGTAGATTGTTTGTATGTTGTGTTTCCTCATCAGCTTCCCTATGTGGTCAGTGGTTCCCTTGATGTATGGCAGGAACACTTTTCCTCTGGGTGGATCTTCATCTTTACTCTCGTGGCTTGTTCTTGGTCTTGCAGCTCTTCTGATGTCTGAGGTGGAGTATCCATTGGCCTGGAGAGCCCAGTTGAGGTGGTTCAGTTCATCTTGGAGGAGGTGGGGTTCACAGATTCTTTTTGCACGGTCTGCCAAGGCTTTAATGGTGCTTCTTTTTTGGGTGATGGTTGGAGTTTTTATGTAGATATCTGATGTGTGTGTGGGTTTTCTGTAAACCGTGTGACCCAATTGTTGATCTGGTTTACGGATGACTAGGACATCTGGGAAAGGCAGTCTTCCTTCCTTTTCTTTTTCCATAGTGAACTGGATGTTTGGGTGGATGCTGTTAAGATGTTCCAGGAACCCGTTGAGTTCTTCTTCTCTAAGGCTCCAAATGGTGAAAGTGTCATCCACATATCTGAACCATATAGTGGGCTTTTTGGTTGCTGTTTCAAGAGCTTGTTTTTCAAAGTGTTCCATGTAGAAGTTAGCTATGACTGGGCTGAGAGGGCTCCCCATAGCTACTCCATCTTTCTGTTCGTAGAATTCATTGTCCCACTGAAAATAGCTGGTGGTGAGGCAATGGTGAAACAGCGCCATGATGTCTTCTGAGAACCTCTGGTTAATGAGTGCCATGGTGTCTGCAACTGGGACCATGGTAAATAGAGACACCACATCGAAGCTGATCAGTTTGTCGTTGGTATTTAGCTTGAGATTGCTGATTTTTTTTCAATGAAGTGGGCTGAGTCCTTGATGTAGTGTGTTGTGAGCCCAATGTGGTTTTGTAACTGTGCAGCAAGGAATTTTGCTAAGTGATAACTTAATCCAAGTTTTCCTATGTTAATAAAAAATATCTGTAGTAAAATGTTAACTTTTATTTTGTCACCAAAATTTATTCTGCAAAAGGAAACATTTGAGAATTCCTAGTAGCCATTATCATCCATACACCTGCTGATTTTATTTGTTTTGAGTGACATCATAACTCAAAAACTGCTGGACTAATTGCCACCAAATTTGGCCAGAAGACACCAACTAACCCAAGGAGTGACCATCACACAAAATAAATGGATTTTTTTTCATTTGGGAGTTATAGGTAAAGGTAAAGGTTTTCCCCTGACATTAAGTCCAGTCGTGTCTGACTATGGGGGTTGGTGTTCATCTCCATTTTTAAGCTGAAGAGCCAGCATTGTCCATAGACACCTCCAAAGTCATGTGGCCGGCATGACTGCATGGAGCACTGTTACCTTCCCGCCAAAGTGATAACTATTGATCTACTTACATTTGCATGTTTTCAAACTGCTAGGTTGGCAGAAGCTGAGGTTGACAGCGGGAGCTCACGCTGCTCCCCAGATTTGAACCTGTGACCTTTCAGTCAACCAATTCAGCAACTCAGTGCTTTAACCCACTGTGCCCCCAGGGGCTCCTTGGAAATTGTAGTTGCTGGGATTTATAGTTCACCTACACTCAAAGAGCATTCTGTTGCTCATCTCCATGTCTAAGCCAAAGAGCCAGCATCGTCCGTAGATACCTCCAAGGTCATGTGGCTGGCATGACTGCACAGAGCGCCGTTACCTTCCTGCAGAAGTGATACCTATTGATCTTCTCGTATTTGCATGTTTTTGAACTGCTAGGCTGGCAGAAGCTGGGGCTAATAGTGGGAGTTCACGTCACTCCCCAGATTTGAAACTGTGACCTTTTGGTCAGCAAGTTCAGCAGCTCAGCGCTTTAACCCACTGTGCCATCGGGGGCTCCTCCTTTACATAATATGTCCTAATAATAACATTGGGTCATATGCATATAAATTTACTTTTAATTCTCCCTTTCCAAACTTATTTTGTTTTTGTTTCTAATTAAATTAGCTAGGGGTTCTATCATCATTGCAAAAGGGATTGGTGAGAGGTGACATTCTTCCTTTGTTCCCCGTTTAATCTTAATGGTTCCTGTTTTGGAGTTGTTAATTATTATTTCTGCCTGACTATCCCTATATAATTCCCTGATTACCTCACAATTTTTTCCACCAATTTAAATTCCTCACAAAGCTGGAACAGGAACTGGTGGTTTTCTGTTTTGAAGGCTTTAATAGACATGATAAATCTGTTTTAATTTTATACTGTATATGGTTACGGCACCAAATGGCTGCCAGGTTGTAAGCCGCCTTGAGTCATCTTCGGGTTTGAGAAAGGTGGGATAGATATACCCCACCTTTCAGTATCAAAAGTCTTGTTTTCTTTCTCTCTTGTTGCATGGGTTGATTGCGTTTGGTATGTTTCTGATTGGATCTGCAACCTTTCTGTTTTTATTAAATCCATATTGATCTTCCTCTATTAAATTTGACATATCTTTCAGTCTATTAGTTATAATCTTTGTAAAAAAAAATTATAATCCACATTGCATAGTGTTATTGTTCTATACGAGTTTTCTGTCAGCCAGAAGTTGCACACCCATTTAACGCAATTGTTTGATCCAAGAAAAAGTGGAGCAGGGATGAGGAAACAGGTTTGATATAGGCGTAATATAAAACTGTACAGTAACCTGTAGTAACCCTGTAGTAACCTACGGATGTGAGAGCTGGACCTTAGGGAAGGCTGAACAAAGGAAGATCGATGCTTTTGAGCTGTGGTGTTGGAGGAAAGTTCTGAGAGTGCCTTGGACTGCGAGAAGATCCAACCAGTCCATCCTCCAGGAAATAAAGCCCGGCTGCTCACTGGAGGGAAGGATACTAGAGACCAAGTTGAAGTACTTTGGCCACATCATGAGGAGACAGCAAAGCCTAGAGAAGACAATTATGCTGGGGAAAGTGGAAGGAAAAAGGAAGAGGGGCCGACCAAGGGCAAGGTGGATGGATAGCATCCTTGAAGTGACTGGACTGACCTTGAAGGAGCTGGGAGTGGTGATGGCCGACAGGGAGCTCTGGCATGGGCTGGTCCATGAGGTCACGAAGAGTCAGAGACGACTGAACGAATGAACAACAACAACAACAGTGGTTTTACATAGATAGCACACAGGAAACATTAGCAGCATGATTTGTATATAATCCGGAGATCACCACCAGGTGGCACAAAGAGATGAAAGAATCTCTGTGCTTATGAATGGAACAAGTGAATGGTCAAATTTTCATCCTATTTTTTCATCCTTAATTCTCATACACTGCATCATTTTCAGAAGATTGGATACTATCCCACTTACAAAGCTTGTTCATCGGTGTTTGAAGACATGTTAATTCTTATGTGTATCCTGACTGATTAAAACCACCAGAGAAGACCTAGCTAGGATTTTGTGTGTTTTTCAGGCTGTTTTCCAGACATTCTGCCTGAATCAATGGCAGGCATCCTCAGAGTTTGTGAGGTCTCCTGGAAACTATGAAAATGAGGTTTATATATCTGTGGAATGTCCAAGTTGGGAGAAAGAACCCTTGTCTGTTTGAAGTAGGTGTGAAGACATCACAGCCCTGTTTCACCATCAATTGGGCAGAAAAGTAACTCTTTATTGGTCCTTTGGGTATTCCTGAATGGAACCCCTGGTGGTGCAGCGGGTTAAACCGCTGAGCTGCTGAACTTGCTTCAAATCTGGGGAGCAAGGTGAGCTCTTGCTGTTAGCCCCAGCTTCTGCCAACCTAGCAGTTCAAAAACATGCAAATGTGATCAAATCAATAGGTTCCGCTCTGGTGGGAAGGTAACAGCCTGCCATGCAGTCATGTTGGGCACATGACCTTGGAGGCATCTACAGACTACTCCGGCTCTTCGGCTTAGAAATGGAGATGAGCACCTCCCCCCAGAGTTGGACACGATGAGACTTAATGTCAAGGGGAAACCTTTACCTTTACCTACAGCTATTCTGGTGGCATTTGATAGCACTCTTTGTGGGCTATATGGCTGATTAGGGACTTGGGGGAATCACTTTGCACTGGTTCTGGTCTTTCTTGCCTGAACTTTTCCAGAGGATGGTGATAGAGGACTTTTGATCAGCTGTGGAGTTTCTCAAATGTCAATACTCTTATGGTTTTTTAAAGCATCTACAAGGATGTCTTCCCATATGAGGCTGCCATAAAATGGTCATCTTTAGATCCTTTTGTATTTGTCAACACCTCGTGAAATTAGGTTGATACCCGTAACTGGGTTTTTCTGCAACAGCTCGACTGTGGAACTCTATACACAAAAAAGATACGCTGGCCCCATCTCCTTTAAGCCTCCTGGCAGGCCGCTAAATAGTGCTGTTCTGCATGGAATTCAATGTTTGAAACTACTGTTTCAAACCTGGACTCTATGACTGTTTTTAAGTCTTCCTTTGGAAGTTTTTAGACTGGTTTTAAACTTTTTTTGTTTTTTGTTTTACTTGGCTTTTATTTGTTCATCACCCCAGGAGTCCTTGTGGGCTGGAAAACAATACAGAAATACTCTAAATAAACAAATAAAAGTACAATAAATACAATAATCATTAAAATACCAAGGAAACTGATACTGGAAAAATTAGAGGGCATTTTTATTTTATTGATACAAACACAAAGGGAACACAACTGTTTCTAACTGTTTCTAACATTACTGTTTCTCTTTATTGAACCCAAAACATCAATTTTTGTTTTTGGAAGTTGCTTTTGCTGGCAACAGCCTGGACAAAGTTTGTATAAACAATATGAAATATTGCAACAGAATAAAGGCTGAGAAACCCATCATGCCAATAAAAATAGTGGACTGACAACCTGAACTTTAATTATACCATGTTAGAACAACTCTTGCAAAAAAGGGAACAATATATCCTTGAACAGAACTTTTAGTAACAGTCTTTTAGTTCACAAACCTCTAGAAAGACATCCCAGATTTATTTCATTTTAATTCCTCAGAATTTGGAGAAATCAAAGTGAGAAAAATGCCATTTATTAAGATGATACATTGCATTGCCTTGTTTATCACACAAAATTCTGGGCAATGGCCAATATTTTCGAGAAGTCTTGCCGTTTCCGAAGATAAGAGGGTAATGGTGTTTTAATCCTTGTCCCAACTGGATTCCCGTTGTCTTCAATAAGCACCACATTGTTTGAATCAAACCTGGGGGTCATACGAGGACCGGGCATCTTGTGACCAACAATTAAGGCTTTTTTCTTTTCCCCTTTGATAGCTAGCAGGATTTTGTCACCTACTTTGCCCACTCCATTTTTGTTGTAGACATGGATGCATTTTGGAGGGCGATGGTAGGGTGTGTTTCCCAAAGCACTGTTATCCACCACTCGGACGCGGGTCATCTTCTGTATGGCACCGCAGAGTCTGCTGAGGCTGGGAAAAGAGAAGCAAGAATGTTAGCTACATGCTCTGCAGAAACAAGCCCAGTTCCAGAACATCAGGTAAAGAAACATACAGTATTACATGTACAGTCAGCCCTCCCTCTTACTAGGATTAGGGCATAGGACCTGCAAATAAAGAAATTGCTATATTGTCACTTGAAGAAACACCTCTCCAAGAATTTCTAGTTCTTCCAACTCTATGGTCACTATCTGCAGGAAACTTATCAGAGTCACACCAGAGAATTTATGAGATTCCTGGAGACGTATTCCCTCTAGAAATTTCTAAATCCTCCAACAAGACTGGAGGAAATTGACAGCAGTCACACTGGAGGACGAGATTCTTAGAAAGAACATTTTTCATCTGTGAATGAACAAACCCACAAATGTGGAGGGTAGACTGTAGTACTATAGACCCATCCACACACACTTTAAAGTTTTATTGAAAGCTGCTTGGAATTACTATTGTTGCTAACTTTACAATACAAATTAAAACGAAATACAATAAAAATAGATACTACAAAAGTTAGAAGCATTTAAAACTAAATGTTAAAAGGGCAACTAAAATAGGATGATGATGAAGAAGAAAATATAGCCCACAGCCAGTTAAAAAACTCCCACAAGAGTCAATAGTTAACCATCAAATCCCTAGCTACATTTATATTTATTTATCTCTTGATATATAAATGTCAAAGTATGGGTGTTTGTTTGAGCCACAAAGGCTACCAGATCGCTTGATGGATCTGGACCAAACATGGCACACATACCCTTCATGATGCAATTTAAATTACTGGTGGGTTTTGGAGGGGGTGATAGAGGATGATAGCAGTTGGAGTCCATCCACATCCAGAGAGCTATGTAATTCCTACCCAAAACCAAAGGCACAGCTCTACTCCTGATCAATCAGACAGCTCAGCCTACTTGCCAGGCTACATCTCCCAATATCCTTATCCCTTGGCTGGGCTGGATGGGGATAATAAAAGCTGCAACCCAACAACAAGGCTGAGCCACCTAACCAGTTAAGAGGAGAGCCCCGAATTACAGCAGAGCCAGATCTCGGAGTGACGGAAGTTGGAGTCTGGCAACATCTGGAGCTAATGGGATTTGCAGCCAGCCAGATATGGGGCTGATGGGACTTAAGAGTTGGGCAAAGTTGGAACTGGTGGGGTGGCAGTTCCAGTTGGCCAGACCTGTAGCCTGACTAGATCTTGGGCAGTCTGACTAGATCTTGGGCAGATGGGAGTTTTTACTAAAAGTCCCATTATATGTGTATGCATTTCTAATGTAACCATTCATAAAATAAAACAAAAACAATGAGTATTTCTAAAAAAATACTATGAGAAAAGACCTAACCTGGGCAACACTGGGTATATATGCTAGTATTAAATACAAACCATCGGCAATTGTATGGTGATGATGTCAAAGTACACAATTCTTTTGAAGTGCAAGACTGTAATTTTCACACTTTTGCCATTCAGGAAATCTTTCCTTATCTGTTAAAGAAACCTGGTATGCTGGAAAATATTTTAAGAAGAATTTCACAATAAAATTCAGAGGGTGGGGGAAGAATAAGAAGAAATCCGTTATGAAGTTTGATTCAGCCCAGAAGGCTGACTGATGCTGATAAAATACCAGTCTTACAGGTTCTTCTGGATTTGTTTATCTTTCCCTAAAGTTACAAAGAGGAATTGGGCTGAGAGAAATCAGACTACAGCCCTAGGAGAAAAACTAGTAGAACTAGTAGTTTACCTCCGTTTAAGGAGCTCTATTGGCTGCCGTTCATTTTTCAGTCCCAATTCAAGGTGCAGGTTATCATCTACAAAGCCCTGAATGTTTGGGGCCCAACTACCTTTGTCACCACATTTCTGTCTATATATCTGCACGATCCATTCATTCAATGGGTGAGGCCATCCTATCGCTCCCACCACCACTGCAAGCGTGATATGTGGGGACGAGGGAGAGGGCCTTCTCTGTGGTGGCCCCTAGACTTTGGAACTCGCTACCCATTGAGATTGGGCAAGCACCCACTTTGGCAGCCTTCAGGAAGAGCCTAAAAACTTGGCTGTTCTGGTGTGCCTTCAAGGATTGAACAACAAACCTCTTACCTTTGACCAATTCAGCACATAATGTCTTTCGATGCGCTTTAGTTCACCCTTCAGTGAATTAAATCCCATTGTTTGCCCCCTTCAAACATCCCACCAGATACATTACCCTACTCATCCAACTCACCCAGGGTTTTAAAATCATATCCATTGGATTTGGCCCTTCCCACTTGGTTCAATGTTTTATTTTGTTTATACTCGGTTTTATTTTGGATTTTTAAATTTTATTTTATTGTATTTATTTGATGTATTATTTTATGATATTTCGTTGTATTTTTGTTCTGTTGTAATTTGTTGCGCTTGGCCTCATGTTAGCTGCCCCATGTCCTCTTGGGAAGATGGAGGCGGGGTATAACTAAAGTTATTATTATTATTAGTAGTAGTAGTAGTAGTAGTAGTAGTATAACACAATGGGGTTTACTTCTGAGTAGGCATATAAAGAATTGCACCATTAACTCTCAAAATGACTTCTGAATAGTTACCAAATGACTTCCACTGTGCCCTTACAACTCGTATATTAAATATGACTAAATCTGCTTTCTTTAAAAGCAAAACAAATCCACAGAATAAAAGCACACCAGGAAATCTTAGTCATTTCCGGAAAGCTGCTTCTTTTTTAGCATTAAAATTTTAACACTAAATGACAGAACACCGTGGAAAAGGCAAGCAAAAAGTATTCATAAATTACCATACCTGACACTTAGTAGACTTAAAGAGAATTTGCAATCAGCTTTGTACTGTAAGGTTAATTCCTCACAAGGGAGAACGGCTAATTAGATACTGGTCTGACAGGTTTTCTGAAGATGATTTTTCATTCTTTAATGGCCTTACACTTTGGAGAATTGGATTAGAAAGGAAGAATCTCTGCTCAGTAAGTAAAGGCAGTTATTTATACTGAAAAACAGGTATCACAACAAAACTTAATTGGGCAGGACTTCTTTACAGTTTGTTTGTTTTTTTAAAGCAAACACCATATTTTTGCATCTTACTACGTACTAGTTACATTTATACCCTGTTGAAGGCAACATATATGGCTCTTCTCTATATTCCTCATAAAAGTTTTGCAAGTCCAACAGAAAATCAAATGGTCAACATCATTGCCAATACCATAGTTAATCACATTCGAGGTAATAGTCAGAATTTTTCCTCCTCAAACAAACAGTTGCAGAACCATTTGGGATCAATTCTCCCTCCCTCTTTCCCTCCCTCCCTCCCTCCCTTCCTTCCTTCTTTCCTCCCTTCCTTCCCCGAAGACAAAGCAGTTTAAGAACTATAAAATGGACGTCTCTGAAGCTCCATGCTTCTCTCCTTTTTTCTTGCTCTGAGGTAAGACAGTTGAAAAAACCTGAAATGGGGGTATCCAGAACTGGAATTGTCTCTTCTTCCTCCTTTCTTCAAAGAAGGAGGGAGAAGGGAAGAGTGCACCTCTAGAGGCCTCTATTTTATAGTAATTAAACTGCCTTTGGAGAAAGAAGGAAGGAAAGAAAAATCAGTCCAAAATGGGAGTGTGACTAGTGTGCCAGAAAAACAATAATACAATTTTTGGCAACCAAAAAATGGAGGTGCGACTACTACACAATGGTGACTATTATCCAACAAAATACAGTATTTAGAATAGCTGTCATTTTGTTGAAGACATTCCTTTATGACCCTCTTCCAAAGTGGTCTTTGTTTATTTTCTTAAAGGACCACTTTGCCAAAATTGCCGCAGAACATGATACAGACATTCTTGTATCCTGGTATTGCCATAGTACATTCGCCGTGTTTTAAATTATCTTTATTTATATTGATTAAAAATGCCTTCAGTGATTATGACATTTCTTTCTAAGTGCTTACAGAACAATCTGCTCTAACATCTTTCCTTCAGACTGACTGGGCAGTGTTTCCGTCCTTTTCCTCACCTTCACCCCTTTTATTTTTTGAAAATTTGGACAACTTGGTCTCTAGGAATTCTCAAATATTACTGCCAGTGGTTCTGAGATAGCTTCTGACAGTTCTTTAACACCCCTTGGACCTAGTTCACCTGGCCATGAATGACTGAATTCTTTCAGAGGAGCCAGATATTGCTGTACGATTGCACTACCTCCTTACCTGTTCTGTGCTGCACCTCCCCTACTGTATCACCTGCTCCATTTCCACCAGAAAGAGCACTATTTTCCTTTTGAGAGAAGACTTAGGAAAAAAAGATAGGTATATCTACCTTTTCTCGGTCCTTGTTAACATTTCACTATTTTCTACATGCAGTAACCCTACTAATTTCTCCTTTGGTTTGGACAAAAAAAAAGCCCTTTTGTTGTTTTTAACCTCTCTAGCAAGCCTGAGTTTGTTCCAAGGTTTAACCCATTTCACATGCTCTGTACAGGAGAATAAACACCCACAACAAACAAGCTTCTCAGTTGTGTAGTTTATGTTTCATGTCATTAAACCAAGACAATGGCTTTCTTGATGTAAGAAACCACGATGACCAAATTTAGCAAATTCTGTATAGTCAATTAGTGAACTTTATCCTTCAAAAATAGTAATAAAGACCGAAAGTTTTATGGCTTCAGATGGTCAACACACAGTTGTCATTTCTGTTCAAAGAAATTCAACAGCTGTCATTCCAAAATGGAAAACAGATGGACTGCACTGCAGTATATTTGAACAACACAACAGAACCCCAGAGGCTGGCTGAAAATGCTGACCTTGGTTGACATGCTGTCTGCTTCCATAAGATAAAGGAGTTGTAAGATACAGACTAAGACATTACAAACAAGTTGGATCCTTAGAGCTTAGAGGACCACAGTTCAAATGCTGGAGCACACAGAACAACAGTCCCAGGTTCAGTCCTCAGATCTCAAGAATGGGCTGGGAGAAAGACCTATTTTCAATTAGTATTCACAAGTCCAGATATCTGCAGTTTAATTCCCATTAGCTCCAGATAAAGGCAAAGGTTGATGGAAGTTCAAAACATGAACGGTTGGAGCAATATGAGATTACAGAAAGTTGTGTAGACAGTATGGAGTTAGGTGAACTATAAGTGAACCTCAGTATGATGGTTCCTTATTTTCCTACATCAGGCTCTCAATGCAATAGACGATGTGGCAACCTGGAGTCACCATGGAGTTAAAGATCTAAAACATGTCTATGTACATGAATTGCCATATACTGCGGAAGATAAATATTACTAAAGGAAATTTCCCATAATATATTGTTCCCAAGGAATATATTCAGCTTAGGTACTCTGCCTTGGAAACGCTCACCTGTGTAAACAAAATTTTGCACAACATGCTTGCCTCATCCAATCTGGGCCCTCAGGGCATGTCCCCAGATTGTTTGGGGGGGGGGGACAGACACTCAAGAAGTTCTTGAACAGCCCAACCTTTCTCTCAGGAACTTACTCATTCTTTAAAGAACTCATGTAATGGAGGAACCACAAAAGTCAAGGGTCTTTGTTCCCTCTTGAAAGTGAAGTATTTGGCACAAATTGTCTTCTAGAGAAGCACGCTAAATGCCAAAGGAGGAAGAGGGGGAAGAAAGGTCACATAACCATCTGGATTTGATAGAATATGAATGAGCACCTGAAGCTAACACAGATTCTGGGAACTGGGTACTATTAACTAAATGGCAGTGGCTTTTACAAAATCTCAGGCAAAATATTTCTTCGCGTATCTATTTAAGAGTCTTTTAAACTAGAGATGCCTGTGATTGAACCTGCTTGTTTCTATTTGCATATTTACTTATTTTTAAATGAGCAAAATATGAAGAGGGATAAGAAACCAAGTCAAGCTCTCCTTTTACAAGTGGAATATATGAGAGTGGATCCCCATAACATGGAATTTCTTCATGTTGATAGACTGTGTAGCTAGAGCTGATGGGAGTTGCAATCCAAGAATATCTGGAGGGCTACAAGTAAGTTCTCCATCATGGTAATTTCCTGTACTTTTGTAATTGTACATCCTGTACAACAACAGATTGTAATCTTAAACACTATGGGAATACAAATTGAGTTTCCTGTATCCAGAAATCCAAAATCCTCCAAAATCATTCACATGGGTGGCTGAGAGAGTGACACCTTTGTTTGATAGTTCAATGCAAACAAACCATATTTCATGTACAAAATTACGTTTAAAATTGTGTATAAAATTACCCTCAGACTATAAGGTATACATGAAACCTAAATTTATACTTGAATGGCATCTCCAAGATATCTCTTTATGTACATGCATATACTTCAAAATCTGGAAAAATCTGAAATTCAAAGCACGCCTGGTCCCACGCATTTCAGAGGAATACTCAACCTATATGCACACAAGGTCTATTGATAGTATTAACGTAAGTACACAAGGCTTGTGTGTCAGCAAACATGAACAGAGTTGTAAATATTTAATGAAAAGGTCACACCTATGCTGTAAAAATATTATTTTCCAAAATCACTCTTGAAAGAGACTTTGAACAATAAGCAAGGAAGGAAAGAAACCCCTAATTTTATTGTGGTTCCTCCCCTTAGCCATTTTCTTGTCCCAGCTCAAGCGTTGCTTGTTTATTTCTGGCCTTGATTTGCAATTTAGTAGGATAAGGTGGCCAACACCAGGTTTATCACACAGAAATGAAGAGGACAGCTTTGGCCTTTAGTGATACCGCAAAAAAGCATTAGACATCCCATCTGTGGAAATTGTCTTCCTGTGTTGCACAACATCAAAATTAGAGAAAACCACAACAATTCAGTCTTCCACTTATGTATCGACTGTAGGAGGAATTAAAATAAATCTCTACAAGACACTCTTGTCTCTTTTGTTACTGGGGTGCCTTTTTTATAGAAACAGCCAGAAATATTATAATTTATTAATGTTATTGTTACTGTTTATTTCATCACTTTTTACATTAACTGACATCCAAAACTATGCAGATAAACCTTTAATCCCTCACTTATTTTCACTCTAGAAATAATTATGGGTGACATATGCAGATATAATGATTTTTAGAATAATTAGAATTTTAAAACAATAGTTTTTGGAATTAATTGTTTCAATCAATGAGAAGAATTCGGAATACACTTAGTATAAATAAACAAAATAGCTTTCTAAAATGGCAGACAATTTCATATAAAGTTTCTTTTTCAGAAAACAGAGTGGATTTGCATAGAAACATTTTAACAAATTTATTTATATTCTGTTAAAAATATACTTAAGTGCAAAGCCACATTAACAATGAGTCATAATGGAACAAATACCTGAAATTTCTTTGATTTGTTGCTGTACATAATTCTGGTACGAATAATCCTAGGGACCTTTTCAATAAAGCCATTGGGATTCAGGGAGGAAATCCTAGACAAAAAGAGAAAAAATAATTATTGTTGGCTTTAGTTTGCTATAAATATCAAACAAACTTAGGAACACGAGGGAAGAGCAAGATTTTGACATCAGGGATCAAATGTCCCTAAGATACACATTCTGTTGTCAATGGAGTACCGTAATATTTCCTCCTCAAATCCAAATCAAAATGAAACAGATGAATATAATGCACTTTAGAAATGCGAAAGAGTGCTAATGTCTTGCCAAACTACAGCTCCCAGGATTCCATAGCATTGCGCCATGGCAGTTAGTAGTGTCACACTACATTAAATCTGCAGTGTAGATGCACCCTCAGTTGGCAGCATTTTCAGCTTTCATTCCAGTAAAAATTGTGTGTGTGAGAGAGAGGGAGTGCACTCATTAACCATGCCACTGGTTGGGAACCTCATTCTGTGAAGAACTTGTGTTGACCAGCCAGGAACTGGCCTCCACACATTAAAAAACTCATGCACAAGCGTCTTCCAAGATAAATAAAACAAAACCAAAAGTCCCATGCCAATCAGCGAGTTGCGATAGGGGCAGGACTTTGAAATCTGGAAACCCCGAGTCACAGACTGGCACACAGGCGGTGGATATGGATTCAGTTGTTCTACATCAAGGTCCGAGACAGTTGAGTAGTCCAGTAGTTGTATCCATGACTGATCCATTCTGCTCATCTCACATGGAGAGGGAGCTAGAAAAGATGTGCTAACCATACATCTGCCTCTGTAATCCCTGACTGGACTACTGTGTCCAGAGGGGTCACCATCTTGTGGTCAAAAAAAGAAAGATGAACTTTGGAACATAGAATGTATGGACACTGTTAGACAACACAGACAGCGAACGACCTGAACACAGGTCTGCTATTATTGCAAGGGAGCTGAGGAGCTTTAACACTGACATAGCAGCACCTCAAGAGACCCGGAGAGCAGGAGAGGGACAGCTGAAGGGGGAAAAAGGAGGCTACACCTTCTTCTGGAAGGGACTGCCTGAAGAATGAAGAATACATGGAGCTGGCTTTGCTATCAGAAACGACCTGGTGACACATCTGTCTGAAGCACCCATTGGCATTAATGAATGACTCTCAAACCTCCAAATTAATCAGCAGACAACCCTCATAAGTGCCTATGTACCAACACTAGATGCTGATGAAGATATCAAGGAAAAATTTTACTGTCAGATGTACACCATCCTATTGGAGATACCTAAGGAGGACAAAATCATCCTCCTGGGGGATTTTAACACAAGAGTTGGATGAGACTTCAGCTTGTGGCCAGGGACCATAGGGAAAGATGGGGTTGGAAACAGCAACCAAAATGGCATCCTGCTTTTCACCAAATGTGTGGAACACAATCTCGTCATCACAAACACACTCTTCTGCCAGAAAAAACAAGCTTAAGACAACATGGAAGCACCCTGGTCAAAGCATTCTTCTGAATGAAGCAGAATGTGTTTGAGGATCAGGACATCCATAGAGAGACCAAGATGCTTGTTTATGAAGCCACTGTCCTCCCAACCCTGCTATATGCCTGCAAAACGTGAACCATCTACAGACGTCATACTCCTGGAACAACTCCATCAGCGTTGCCTCTGAAAAATCCTACAAATCTCTTGGAAAGACAGGCAGACAAACATCAGCATGCTTGAAGAGGTAAAGACCTCTGCCATCAACTCTGCTGGACTAGCCATGTTGTCCGAATGCCCAACTACCATCTCCCAAAGCAGTTATTCTACTCCCAACTGAAGAATGGAAAACGGAAGGTTGGTGGACAAGAAAAGAGATGTAAAGATGGGCTTAAAGCCAATACTAAAAAACGTGGTATAGACACTGAGAACTGAGAAACTGTGGCCCTTGAGTGTGCTAACTGGAGGTCAGGTGTTTCCAACAGTGCTGTGGAATTCAAAGAGGCAATAATTTATGGTGAAAGGGAGAAATGCGTCAAGAGGAAAGTACATCAAGCCAACCCTGATCAGGACTGCTTTCCATCTGGAAACTGATGTCCTCACTGTGGAAGAACTTGCGGGTGCACAGTCACCCACCGTCAAGACCCTACACTTGGAAGGCCATCCTACTCGAACACGAGTGATTGTCAAGGATGATGCACTCAATAAGTTCATTTTTCGTTATAGCATAAAAGTTTTGCTTTGGGTAATTTTTTTTTCCCAAATTATCAAAATATTATGTATTAGAATAAATGTATTGTAAGTAAGAAACCCTGCTATATATACATTTACCAAGGAATTGGAAGAATCAAGCTCCCTATTAGGAAAAAAAGAGTTTCTATATTCATGTCTCAAGCCTTCAAATGGATATTGCATATTTTTAATATCTTGCTTTGGGTTTTGGAATATGGATACTTCTTTATTTTATGCAGCAAGAACTTCAGATTCAAAGTGACCTATACATTAAAGAGAGCTTTTGGCAGACCATAAAGTAACCACACTCCTTGACAGCAACCACAAAAAGGACATAAATAAAAGCATTCATTCTTCTTAGCTTTAAGCATCAAAATTATCTGCATGCCAATTACCGTATATTCCGGCATATAAGACGACTGGGCATATAAGACGACCCCCAACTTTTCCAGTTAAAATATAGAGTTAAGACGACTCCCATGCATAAGACTACACCCGCGTATAAGACGACCCCTGACTTTTGAGAAGATTTTCTTGGGTTAAAAAGTAGTCTTATACGCCAGAATATACTGTATGTGCCTCCTTGAGGGAAAAATCTGTCCTCGCTTTGCTTATTTTTCCTCTGTTGATCACTTCCTACACTCCATCTAAAAACCCTTAATAACACATAAGAGACAAATAGGGTCATACAACAGAGTCGCATGATGCACCCCTGGCATGTGGGTTACTCAAGCTGTGCATTGGGGGGGGGGGCGAAATTTGGCATTAAGACAATAGTGCCTGTTGTAATACAAGTCTTACTCTATGTGCAAAATTATTTAATTACAGCATTTACGGTTCTGAACAGTGAAAGCTCATTTGAAGTCTTTATGCAAATAAATGGACCATAAGCCATCAGGATGTAACTCAGTTTGCTTTGAAGCATCGGGTCAATTTATGTAGTCCTGCCTCTGGAATGGAAAACTAACTCTGGTCTACGCTGTAGGGCAACTGTGAACTACTGTGTCTCAACACAGCCAAGTCAAAATGGACACAACCTGCAATAAGGGTTATAACAATTAAATATAGAGCAGTAGGCAAGTTGTAGAAAGTACAGCCCCCATATCCACCGGAGGTACTTTCCTAGACTTACTGTGGAAATGTCAACCATATTGGACAGTTTCTGGGGAAGCATATCACAGAATTAGTCTAAAGGACCCATATCCACAGGAGGTACTTTCCTAGACTTACTGTGGAAATGTCAACCATATTGGACAGTTTCTGGGAAAGCATATCACAGAATTAGTCTGAAGGACCCAGAAAAAAATCTAGAAAAGACACCTCTCTAATCATAACAACAACAACAGTGAAAACTGTAGTCAGCAAAGAATATACTCAAAGGGTCATAAAAATTCTCAAAAGCAAGCTCAATGGAGGAAATACTATCAAGGCCATGAACACCTAGGCCATACCTGTCATAAGATATACTGCTGGCAACTGGATGCAGGCAGAACTGGACAATTTGGACAGAAAAACAAGAAAACTCATGACCATTCTATTCACTGAACCCTTGCAGTGATGTTGATTGGCTATATCTACCTAGAAGGTCTGGTGGCAGAGGACTCTTACAAGTAAAACAAGCAGTCAAAGAAGAAAAACATAATCAGAAACTTCTCAAAGCACAGCAGACAACGATTCAGTACAAGAAAACTGCACTCCAAACCAGAGCTGACAGCTGGCACAACAAAGCATTGCATGGGCAGTTCCTTGACAAAATTGAAGGGAAATTTGACAGGGAGAAGACCTGGCTATGGCTCATGAATGGAACACTGAAGAAGCCATCAGAACAAATGCAATTAAGGCCAGGATCGAAAAATCAGTGGATGACCCAAAATGCAGACTGTGCAAGGAAGCTGATGAAACCATGGACCATATCCTCAGTTGTTGCAAGAAAATTACACAGACGGACTACAAACAAAGACACAACTCTATGGCCCAGATGATTTACTGGAACTTATGTCACAAGTACCACATGCCAGCAGTAAAGAATTGGTGGGATCATAAACCTACAAAGCTCGTGGAAAATGAACATGCAAAAATACTGTGGGACTTTCAAATCCAAACTGACAAAGTTTTGGAACACAATACACCAGACATCATGATTGTGGAAAAGAAAAAAGTCTGGATTATTGATGTCGCCATACCAGATAACAGCCGCATTGAGGAAAAACAACAGGAAAAACTCAGCCGCTATCAAGACCACAAAATCGAACTGCAAAGGCTCTGGCATAAACCAGTACAGGTGGTCCCAATGGTCATTGGCGCACTGGGTGCCGTGCCAAAAGATCTCAGCCGGCATTTGGAAACAATAAACATTGACAAAATAATGATCTGTCAACTGCAAAAGGCCACCTTACTTGAATCTGTGCACATCATTCGAAAATAAATCACACAGTCCTAGACGCTTGGGAAGTGTTCGACCGTGATTTTGTGATACGAAATCCAACATATAGATCTTGTTTGCTGTGACATACTGTGCTTTTGTGTCAGAATAATATTTATTTATTTATTTATTTATTTATTTATTTATTTATTTATTTATTGGGCACCCTATCTCCTCGAAGGGACTCAGGGCAGTTTCCAACATATAAGGCAAACATTCAATTGACAGAAAGAAAACCATATACACAAATTACATCAAAATAAACGCATTTGACAATATAACACAACCTTATTTAACTTAATGACAAAATAATAACTAAAAGCATTATAAAATACCAAAATCCCGCTAAACACACTTAAAAAAATATTAAAATACCATTTCATTGTAGCTCCATCAGTAGAGGTTCAACTAACCAATGGCCAGGATTACAAAATTA